CTCTCTCTCTCTCTCTCTCTCTCTCTCTCTCACACACACACACACACACACACACATCACAGTTCTCAGTTCTCTGTGACAGTTGCAGAATCTGTTAGTATTCTGATATATTTCCACCCTCACTTGGCCGTTGGACCATGTGATGGGATTCTGGTAGGTTAAATGTGGATAAAAGTGCTCCAGGCTTGGCCCTTCAACACACCACACAAACTCCTGGTTCTCTTTCTCTGCTGCATGCAGCCATCCTAGAGCCCACATTTTCTGGATAACATTGCTATAAGACAGTGTGACCAGATTGTACAATGCATAAACAAGACAGAAATCTTTACCTGTTAAGCCACTATTATTTCAGAATTAATTTGCTGCTGCAAATTAATAGTTTTAATAATAGTTCTAGTAATGAAAAGATTAAGGAAAAGTCCAAAGCAAGAATACAGTTAAAGAATATAGACAGTACCCTTGAGAAGGCAAGATAGTCCAAAAGTGAATTCATAAACTAGAATCAGAAACATTGTACTATGGATGACAAGGAGAAACACAAATAACTACAAACATCTCCAAAATGATCTGAATGAATGTCTCTTTTATAACAACTGTGTATGTTTTCAAGGCATTTTTATTATAATCTTTAATTTTGCCTTTTTATATGTCAGGTACTGTTTTAAGTATGCATTTGTCTTGATCTTCATGAATATCCTGGAAAGATGTCAATATAATTATTATTCTATATTTCTCCACTGAAATATAATTCTATATAATTATATATTTCAGTGAAGAAATAGGCCATTAATCATTCATATTAATAAATATTACTAACAAGATTTGTTAGATTTTTGGCATCAGCACCTAATTTTATTTAGATAGATTTTCATTTTATAAAACTGAGAGTAAGAATCTTTTCAGAGTTTGCACATATTCTCTGAAGAATATTTTAAAGCTTTTCTCTGTGTATAACACTTTTTTAATGCACTGGAGAAATTTAAGTTTGGCAGTATCACAAACATGCTTACCCAAAACTCTTGTCATCACATTTCAAGACCATGGAATGTATGTTCAATAACAGATCAAATATTTGACAAGAACTGGATATCTCTGACTGAGTCAAAGTAACTTCTTCCCAATTCATCCTTAGTTATGTTGTTCTATTGTGTTTTAAAAAAATAAGCTCAAGACTGGCTTTGGGCAAACATGTCAAATTTAAATCTTCAGCCTGCCATTCAACACCCTCCACATCTTGTCCTAGCCATAGTTTTCCCTTTTTATTATGAATACGCTCTCTCTTGCATCTTGTTTTTTTGTTTTATTGACTTGTAGTAAGTCTTCCTAACCTCTCTTTTTGTTTCTTTCCTGTGGCACTTTGCAAGTTCCTCCACCTAGATTATTCCCGTGGCCCTGTAAAAACATAAAGACACCTTAAAAATGGGTTTTACAAATTCCATTTTAAGATATTAGTTTTCTAGTTATTTAGAGTATTTTATTACTATATTTCTCTATTTTTTTCTGGTATGTTCATTTTTCACATTTCATTGCTTGGACCATTACTTTAAAGACAGTAGTCAGATAAAGGGAGATGACAGAAATAAAATATAGATTAGTTTATGTGGTATAGAATCTCAGAAAATGCTCACCAATCATGCTTTCCCCCCTGTACATACTTGCTACTCCATCCAGCAAGAAATGGAGTCTGGTTTCCTTTTCCTTAAATCCGTACTGGATTTGTGAGTTGCTTTGACTGAAAAAAATATGGCAGGAGTGGCAAGCTGGGACTCTAGCATTCCAGCCTGAAAAGTATTGTAGGGATATCTAGGATTTCTTCTTTAGTGAGAAAGTGACATAAATAAAAACATTAAAAGATATCACAAGAATAGAATAATAGGCTCCACATGTACTTGCCATCAAATTGGCACTAACTGATCAACATTATGGTGCTCACACGGTAGTAATATTCTTCAGGGATTGGGGGGGGTGGGAGTGGGTAAACTCTCAACTAATGGATGTGGTGAGCATTGTAGGGGGGAAAAGGCACATTTCAAACCATGGTTTGGGTGTGGCAAAGTCATAACATGTAACTAAAATGTTTGTATCCCCATAATATCCTGAGTTAAATAAAATAAAAAATGTGTTTTGATGAAACAATGACTAAATCTACACATATGTGTATGTACATATGGAGCATAGAAAAATACATGGGTTACTTTGGAGTAGAGGCAAACATTAGGTATATGTGAAGATGAGATTGGGGAGGAGAAGATAAGCCAACCAGTACAAACCAAAAATATATATAAAATCACATTTATGCATTTGAGTAAAATTAAGCATATGTTCATTAATTAAAGAATTTAAAAATTTATTTAGAGAAAACAAGTATCATTCTGGCAGCAGTGTAGAAAACATGAGTAGGTTATAGTGTATAAGTTACTGGGCTATTACCATGATCCAGGTGAAAAGTGATGTGAACTTGGATGAGGAGTTAAAGTCAGTAAGACTTGATGATTAGATAGGGGAGGTTTTAAAGCTGATTGCTAACTTTCTGACTTGTATAGTACCACTCAGTACAACAGGAAATAATAAAAGAGGGCCAGGTTTGGCAGGTGGGGATTTTGCTACTTGATTTATCTGTGTTACTATGCAGCACCCATGTGGAGATATCAGGATGAAAGTTGAATAGTTGAGTTTAGAACTCAGAGTTCGAGCCTCAAGATATAAGTGAATAGGTGATCTAGTATGGTAATCAAAGCTATGGCCCAGGATGAGATAATGTAAGGAGAAGAGAAAAAAGTCTCTGAATGAGCTCTGAGTAACATCTTACCACAGCAGATAAAGATAAAGATGCAAAGACAAAGGACAGCTAAAGTAATCAGGGAAAATACAACAGTGTATTGGGCTAAGGAGTCCAAGATAAGAGCGTGTTTCAAAAGGAATTTCTAAAATATCAATAGTACTATATGGTAATGAAAAATGCTTGGAAATATGTGTTGGATAGACTTACATAAAGCATATTAAAAGAGGTTGAGGTACCAATAAGGGCTTAGGAAATGGAAGTGAGCAACTGTAGACTTTTTCCAACTCTACAATGAAGAAGAGATACAGTTGTAGCTAGAGAATGTAGGGTCAAGAGAAAGAGTAGTGTGTGTGTGTGTGTGTGTGTGTGTGAGAGAGAGAGAGAGAGAGAGGGAAAGAGAGAGAGAGAGTTCATGAGTGCGTTTAATGTGGTGGAGAGATGAGTATTTGTAATATTGATGGGAAAGACCAGTGAAAGAAAAAGAACAATAGAAAATTATTAAAATAGAGTTTAAGATAAGATAATAATAGATTGAACTATAAACATTTAAAAATAATTTTGTTTAATGATTCAAGCTAGAAACTAATTAATTGAATAAACATTGAATTTAACATGCCCATATGTCAAAAACTTTTCCATTTTCTATGACACGAATATTGTTCATTTAATTTGATTAATTTAATGAGATGTTTATAATACTGCTTATGCTATTTTCAATTTTAGTCCTCTGGGAAAATAAAGTGTACTTGTTTTATGAGGAGTTTGTATCTCTTAAAGAAATGTGAATGGTTGAGTTTTAAATTGATTTTGGTTATGAATCTGTCTAAATTGTTTCTTTTGCAAACAGTATGCAAATTTGATCTAAGATTTAAAGTATGTTTACATCCCATATGCAAATGAAGGGTTTTGGTTTACTTGATAAAGTAAATTTGTAAGATATCATATGATGTTTCTCATTAAAATAGCATTGCTAATTATGCCTCTGAAGATTTCTTTCTGATGTGTCATTACTAGATAAAATTTATTATTAAAATATATTTGATATGCATTTTAATCATGTAGTAAATGGAGTCTGTGATATTATTTTTAACAAAATTTTTTACATAATTTCCAAGAGAAATTACATTCAATTTCACTCGATTTCACATTTTATTGCATATTATTTTCTACCATGCTCAAATTCTCTCATAGATGAAGTTGGAATTTCCAAAATAGTCACTGGTACTCAAAACCTGATTATTGTTTCATAGACTATTTATATTGCCCTAGGGAGTACTTATCTAGATCGACTCAGCTCAAGGGACTTTAACAGCTACAAAAAAACCCACAAAAAATCCAAACAAAACAAAACAAAAAAATGTACAAAGTAGATTTCAATTCTCAAAGTTAAGAAAGAAAAAAAAATAACAAATTTTTAATATGTGCCAGGAGGAGTTAATTTTATTTGCACAAATTGGTTAATGCTAATTAAAATTGTTTAAGGATTATCCACATTTTATTGAAGAGTAAATTAAATCGCAAAGTTTCAACAAGTAACTTACCCAGCATGGCATAATTGGAAAGTGACAAAGCTGAGATCCCTATTCAGTATCTTACTCCAAATCTTGTGTTCTTCCAACTGTAGCATACTTACTTAAGTGCAAAACTGTTATCTAGAATTGTGGGTTCTAGCAACAACTATGATCCTAACTCTCTGTTGCATCTTGGTTAAGTCATGTACTATCTCTGCTTTTCTGTTTTCTGAACTTTAAAATTTTTTTCTTCCCTTTGTTTTATTATTTTTTTCTTATTTTCCTACATTCAAAATGGGAGTTGGGTGGGTCAGATAAATTTAAGCTATATTCAGTCCTGTATGGACACATGGATTTTCCTCGGTCACCATTCCTTATCTTTAGCTCAATAGTATTTGTGAGGTTGGTGATAATAAAGTTTTTTGGTTTTTTTCCTAAGTTCTCTATGTACATACATATGTTTTAGCAGAGAAAAATAAATGAAAAGCCTTATGCAGTATTTTTTTTTTGCTTTTAATATCTGGATTCTATTTACTCCATGGGGTACTCCACTAATATTTTCTGCTTTTATCTTCATTTTCTGTCTTAATTATTGATCTGTGAGTTAGTTGCCCTTGAAACTGATGCACTCATGGCTCCAGTGAGGTGAAGTGAGATGGTTGCTAGGCAACCTCTACTGTATCAAACCGGTCGTTGGGATCTTTACCTCTGAGAGCCTCGTTTGTGGAGAATCTGAGGGAAAAGCTATTTCTAACTTTTGTGTCTTTAAGCTTCAGAGAACACACAGATTTGGAACAAAGGTATGAGATGTTTAAAAAGGATTATTAGACAAATAAAACTTGTGTAAAATATTTGTCTTTTATTTGCAGGTTTTAGGTGATTACTTTAAAAAAAAAAAGCCCTCTGATACTGTGTTGGTTTTCTGTTTCTACATAACAAATAAGGATAGACTTAGTGATTTTAAAAAATATATATCTCACACTTTCTGTGGGTATAGAAGTCCAGGTATGGCCTAGCTGGGTCTCTGCACTGGGGTCTACCAAGGGTGTAATCAAGGTGTGTGCTGGGGCTGTGGTCTCATTTAAGGTTCAGAGTCCTCTTCAAAGTTCTTGTGGTTGTTGGCAGAATTCATTTTCTTGCAGCTACTGAACTCATGGTGGTTTTCTTCTTCAAACCCAGCAATAGAAAAAGAGAGAGGTGAGTTTCCTGAGCTTTCAATCTCTAAGTTCAGGAAAGGCCAAAGCCCTCTTTCAAAGACCTAGTTAGGCTGGGCCCATACAGGATAATCTTCCTTTTTTTTTATTGATACATCATAATTGTATGTATCTATTGGGCACATGTGATATTTTGCTGCATATATACAATGTCTAATGATCAAATCAGGTTAATTAGGATATCCATCACCTCAAATATTTATCATCTCTTTGGGTTGAGAACATTTCAAATCTTCTAGTATTTTGAAATTACAATAAATTATTGTTAACTATAATCACCCTACTGTTCTATCAAACACTAGAACTTATTCCTTCTATCTATTTTTGTAGCCATTAGCCAAACAATAATCTTCCTTCTGATTAATTAAATTCAAATAATTTGAGATCTTAGTTACATTTGAAAAATCCCTTCATTTTTACCATATAATGTAGCATAACCACAAGAGTGATATCTCTTCCTATTCACAAGTCCTACTCACACTCAAGGCAAAAGGCTTATACAAAGGTGTAGGTCATTAGAGATAACCTTAAAATTTTGCCTGCCACAGATATATTTTAAGTATCAGATCAGTGTTCTATTACAATCTCAAAACATGGGCTGAGAAAATAGCACATGCAATTTTTTCATTTCTAAGTTCTTCTGACTATCTTTCTATTTTTTTTATAATTACATTTGAACAATTAACTAAGTATGATTTATTTAAAAATAAGTTATTTTCTTTGAAGCAAAATGTTCTTCTAATATCATCATTTCTGAAACAATGACTCCATAATAAATATTGAATAATATTATGGGGAGGGTCTATGTTAGATGATTCAATTTTATGGCTATTAGATTAATATTGACTATGATCCAGGAACAGGGAAAAGAAACAGGCTGAAAATTTGCAATTAGATTTGGCTGATGCAGATAGTATGTGTTTATACTTGATTAGTGGCTAAATCTCTGCCTCAAGCTTATAAATCAGATCGATATTTTCTCTAGGGAATAGAAGAGCACAATTTTCTGCCAGTATGCATTTCCTATTCCTCTGATGTCATCTCAACACATGAGGGGAAAGTTGGCTCAGAAATATAGAAATATGAAGTAATTTATTAAAAGTAGTCTGTGTTCAAGGGCCAGGAGGATATTGTTGGAGCAATTCTGTTGGTTAGTTTTTTTCCTGGATTCCAAAGAGTTGATGAATAAGCAAACGTGACAATAGTAAAACAATGAGAAATAGTATCAAAAATTATCTTCCAAGTCTTTCTTCAATGTCATTTGGAAGAGAAAATTATGCAAACATTAGAGTATGTATTTTATTGGCTTCTCATTCATTTTCATCCACAGGTAAACTCACTTCTGAATTATTTTTGTTGTATTGGTATTGAGAAATTTCATTAAAAGTCAGACCCTTTCCTTATAGTTAACTGGTTATATGGACTTTAGAAATGAATTGTCAGCCTAAATCCCCTAAGAATATGCCTGAATATGTGTTTTCCCTGGCAGACTGATCTATTCAGGAAATGTGTCTATATAACCAAGGTAAATGAGAAGTAGTTGACAATAGTTACCTACCAATGTTCCTTTCCAACCTTATGTCCCATCACAATTCCCTGAAGGTAAATCATAAATATGAATGGCATAATGTCTCTTAGGCAGATTGTATTATTGTTTGTTTCACTAGCTAAAAAGAATTTCATAGCCTACTGATAACTTTTATATGTAATATGCTAGTTACAGGGTCTCAAATTTTAGTGTATTCAAGGATTATCTGATTATATTTGGTTCTTGCCCAGGTGTGGTGGCTCACACCTCTAATCCTAGTACTCTGGGTGGCCGGGACAGGAGGATCTTTTGAGCTCAGGGGTTCAAGACCAGCCTAAGCAAGAGTGAGACTCCACTTCTAAAAAAAAAAAAAAAAAAAAAAGAAATTAGCTGGACAACTAAAAAAATATATTGACAAAATTAGCCGGGCATGGTGGCGCATACCTGTAGTCCCAGCTACTCGGGAGGTTGAGGCAGTAGGATTGCTTGAGCCCAGGAGTTTGAGGTTGCTGTGAGCTAGGCTGGCACCATAGCACTGTAGCCTGGGCAACAGAGTGAGACTGAAATATATATATTTGGTTCTTCTCTGGATGAAATTCAATATCCTTGAAAGTGACTTGGACTTGAGTCCCGAAAAAAAATCACTTCTATGTGAAAATATAATTAAGAAGGCAGTAAGCAAGTAGGTTAAAAGACAACTTTGGCTGTAGCATTGCCATGGATTCTATCTTGGGAAGTTAGGTGAACAGGATATTTCTTCATAAGCTACTATGAAAACATACACAAATCTATACTTATACATATGTACAATTATCAGTAGAATAGTAAATTACAAGCACTTAAATATGAGTAAAAATTCAGATTTCCTAATACAAAAAACAAAACTGTTGTGTTGTAAAAGCAGTATTGTTTGTCAAAAATATTATGCAAGTCATATATGTAATTGTAAAAAAGTAATCAATTAATCACATTAAAAAATAAAAAGGAAAATTAATTTAATATTTTATTTTATTCATATCTCAAGACACTAAATACATTTTGAAAGTGTATTTCCAAAACAACATAAAGCAGGGTCTGTTGGATTTCAAATATTTTATTGTCAAGGTTTCCAGAAGAGTTCATGTAGTGATGTTGTGTAGAAAGCAGCCTACCCCCTAATGGAGCTTTCTGGACCAGGTGGGTGGCTTTTTTGGTATACCTAGTATTCACCAGGTATTTGGTATTTACCTGGTATTTGGTATTCACCATTGTTACACCATTCATTTCAGCATTTAATTGCAAATGGATCATTGCAATTACTCTTAATTCTAGGCATCTACGTTCTGATAATCCATCTGGCATTTACATTGAGACTTGCTGTTGTTTTCTCTACACGTGGCATACCAATTCCAGGACACATCTCTAATCAGCAATCTCATGAGCCTCTTTGTACCTCACATGGTCCCATATTTTTTTAATGTAGGCACTAATTTCTATAAATTTTCCTCTCAGTACTGCTTTTGTTGTATCCCATAGTTGTTTAGGGGGCAGGGGTGGGGGACAGGGTCTCTCTCTTCCATCTGGGCTAGCATGCAGTGGCATCATCATAGCTCACTGCAACCTCAGACTCCTAGGCTCAAGTGATTCTCCTGCCTTAGCCTCCTCAGTAGCTGGGATATAGGCATGTACCACCATGCCTGGATAATTTTTCTTTTTTGGAGAAACAGGTCTTACTCTTGCCCAGGCTGGTCTTGAACTCCTGGCCTCAAAATCCTCCCATCTTAACCTCCCAAAGTATTCAGATTACAGGTGTGGGACACTATGTGCAGTCTATATCTCACAGGTTTTGATTCTGAATTCCTTGTCGGTGTTGTCTTAAAGTTCATTGAACTTCTTTAGGACAGCTATTTTAAATTGTCTGAAAGGTCACATATTTCCATTACTCCAGGATTGGTCACTGGTACCTTATTTAGTTCATTTGGTGAGGTCATGTTTCCTAGTGTTCTTGATGCTTGTGGATATTCTTTGATATCTGAGCATTGAAGAGTTAGGTATTTATTCTAATCTTCACAGCCTGGCCTTATTTGAACCCGTCCTTCTTGAGAAGGCTTTCCAGATAGTCAAAGGGAATTGATTATTGTGATCCAAGTCTTTGGTCATTGTAACCATATCAGCACTGGGGCTTCCCTAAGCCAGTAGCACTGTGACATTTACACACTCCTAGTGGTACCACCTTGGTGCACTTGGGTAAGATATGAGAGGATTCCATGGATTACCAGGCAGTTTCTCACTCTTTTCCTCCACTCTTTGTGCTTGGCTGCTGGAGTTGGGAGAAGAATGACATGGGCACTCCCTTGCGGACACAACAGCTGGGACTATGTAAGGTCACATCTGAAACCAGCCAAATCTAACCGAAAGACAGTGGTGACTGTTGCCTGGCTACCTCTGATAATTTTCAGAGCCCAAGGGCTCATTAGTCAGCAGGTAGTGCACTTTGCCAGAACTGAGTCCTTTCCTTCAAGGCAGTATGTTTCCTCCTGGCCTAGGGTGGATCTAGGAACGCTGTCTAAAACCTAAGGCCTGGAATCAGAGGCCTCAGGAGTCTGCTTGGTACTTTATTTTACTGTGGCTGAGCTGGTACCCATGTTGCAAAACAAAATTCTCTGAACTCACCTTTTCCTTTCCCCAAGTGGAATAAGACTCCCCTTGAGCTGCACTGTGTATAGTTAGGGGAGATATGACAGGGACACTGGCTTGGCCAACACTGCTAGTGTCTCACTGGGTCCCATGCACACCAAGTCAACTGACTCTGGGCCATCACATCCACAGGAATTGCCCAAGGACTGAAGCCTGTGTGACCTGACAGCCTTATGAATTTATTACAGGCCCTAGGCTCCTTTCAGTGGAGCTAGCCAGAACCCAGGTTTCAGGGTGAAGGATTTCCCTATCATTAGGCTGGTCTAAATGCTCTCTCCATGAGGGCCGGCAGAATTCTTCCCTGTGTTTTGTTCTGCTTTGACAGGACAGCCTTGAGTTCCAATGTAAAGTCCCATAATCACTTCATTCTCCCTCTCTTGGG